AACCTTACCCCTACCTAGAAAGTAAAGAGGTTATTTCCGATAAACCTTCGACTCAAGAAAGGATGAAAAGAAAGTAAGAAAAAATAAATATATTCATCAGATAAATAAATATCAAATACAAAAATATAATAGAAGAAAATCGAACTTTTCTGTAAAAACTCATCCGAAAGATAACTAAATAACTTTCAAAAGCCTATCCAAAAATTAATAACTAACCATGAAATCTTACAAACAGACAAAATATTGTAATAGCAATACATGTGTACAGATAATTAAAAGTTTTAAACTGAAAAAGAGAAAAAATAGGCTTCTGAACCTGAAATTAATAGGTAATTTATCCTGATGACTTCAATATCTTAAATAAATTATTGATATTGACTTCAATATACATATCAACAACTTAATGCATTGGAACTAATAAAAAAATTATAACTAAAGATTTAGTTAAGTGCAAAATCTTAAAATTTTAAGAAAAATAATTTAATACAATTTTGTCCAATATAAGTACTATTAAAAGCTGCTAAAAACGGAGAAAAAGATCCAATAAGAGCACAAAAAAATAGTAGAAGAAGTAACTTGATATAAGGTTAAAGCATATAGTCTAATGCAAAAAGGATACTATTCAACCAAGCTTTACAATCAAGAACATCAAAATAAGATGTATCGGTTAAATACGTGCATGCAAAGTTCAACTACTAATACAAATACATGAATGCAAAATTCAACTACTAATATAAAAAAAAATTGCTCAAAAAAAGAGAACCTGAAACCCTTAATTTTGTAGTTGTTGCTCGAACAAGGCAAAATTCTGATGATGAAAAGGTGAAATTGTAACTTCTTTTATAGAATTACATGCGTATATAAAATTGTGTAAAATTTTTATTAGAAAAAAGACTCTAATAAATTCTCAAAGAGCTCGTCTTCATCTAATATAATTTATAAAAAATTCAATGTAAAAAATTTATATCAAAACTTTCTTAGTTGAAATTTTAATACCCTTAAATTTAAATATAGTTGAAAGTATCAAAAGTTTCCAAGTATGTGAATTAGTAAAAAATTTATTAACTAAAGATAAACGGAAACCTTCCTATTTTGTGTGAATTAGACAAATTTTTATTAACTAAAAAAGATCCTCCTAAATTAGAAAGAAAAATTTAATAATACTCCTAATTATGGAGTTGAACGAAAACTTCCTATTGTGTAGAGAACGAAAATGTTTCCTAGTATGTGTGTCAATATTATAAATATTAAAAGAGTAATTAAATAACTATTCCTAAATAGTAGGGAATTAATTAAATATTTATTTATAAATATTAAAAAAATAATCAAATGACTATTTTGTCTAACGTGAACTCTATTTTAAAAAGGGTAAAAAAAAAAACAAATAACATTTCGTTAGGACATTCGTGCTTTTAATATAATATAGATATAGATTTAACAAGTTCTTCTAGTTATGAACTGGGAACAAACAAAATATGGTTACGAGAAAAACAAAACAAAGGCAACAACCAGAGATAGTCGAAAGATCGGATATAAGTATATTACATAGACACAAAGAGCAAGTAATGTGTACCTCACACTGTCTAAGGGAATGATAGGACCTTTAACTAAACTCTTGAACCACAAGAATTGAGAACCTCTTGTTTAGGAGCGGTTTATTTACACAAATAGCCACTTATGTGGCCGTGTATTTAGAAGTTAGCCACATTTTATTACACCACGACTCAATTTTTGAAAGTAGCCAACTTCTAAATATAAGGCTACAAAAGTGGCCACTAGGTGAAATAAAGCCAAATTGGGGATTAATCGAATCAGTACCTTTCAAATACCAAATGTCTAAACAACAATAACGGCAACAACAACCTAGTGAAATTTCACAAGTGTGATATGGGGAGGGTAAAGTGTACGCAAACTTTACCCTACCTTATGACGGTAGAGAGGCTGTTTCCGGAAGACACTCGGCTCAGGATTCACTACCAGTGTCCAACGACGGTAATTCATTGTGATCTAAAGCCTAGCAATGTGCTTCTTGACAATGATCTCACAGCTCATGTTAGTGATTTTGGTTTTGGCACGGCTACTTGTAAAATTCAAACCGTCAGGCTCAAGAGAACCATATGTCTAAAGCAAAAATAAATAAAAAATAAATAAAAAGAATTAACCCTCCACGTAATCGCTTAAACAAAAAATAGCCAACGGATATATAATATATATATATAATTCATATTTCATATATGTATAATCAGTGTATAATCTATGTACACCCGCTAGAAAATGGTCGACTATTTGTGTTAAAATCCCAAAAAACACACACACACAACTGCAGCTTGGGAATAAGCCTTAATGCCCTGGGTAGTGGGTTGACAAGTGAACATTGTGACTGAAACAAGGCAAAAACTGTTGAAGGATCTGTGAATGTCCCTAATTCAGGAATAGGATGTTCCCTGCTACCTATCTGCAAAGTTGCATTTCCTTGAACATGTTGGCCTTGACCATTGTTGTTAGCCAACTTAGCAATATCATCGTTAGACTTAATAGAAAATATATGGAATTGGGCAATGATAAGAACTATCTTCCATACAATTATTGAATTGCTCTCTGTTGTTATTGCTATTATCATCATCAATATTCATATTAGTGGTGGCTATTGGATTGCTCATATCCATTATCAGACAATGATGTGTTGTGAAATCTTTGTTGTAATACTAGAAAAGACCAAATTGATGAAGAGTTTAAAAATGTTTGAGAAAAACACAAGAAAAACTAAGGGGAAAGGGAGAATTGTGAGTGATAGCTTATCTCTTGTTTATAGCGGAAAAAATGGGGTCAGTTTTGAATGACTACAAAGGAGAGCTGCTCATATTTTTGGATTGACAGTTATATGTAACGGACATTTGAGAAGTTGGGTATTTACATGTTTCCATCACCATACGTCTATTATTGTCATTTTTTACAAGATCGATTGTAATGTTCACGAGGTTGTATATTACCCAATGTTTAATGATATGAATTTCCGACCGACTGAATTGCTTGAATTAGTAAGGGTCTGTTTGGAAAGTTACCTAGTAATTAGAATTGGTATAATTACTAGGGTAGTAATTACACAATATAGTAATTACGATGACATGTTTGTTTGTCATAACGTAATTACAGTGTAATTACAAACGTACTGTTTGGTTGCACAAGTGTAATTACATAGTTAGATTAAATTTTAAATGAAGTAATTATCAAAACTTAAAAGTCAATATAATAAATATATGCCTAGAATTGATTTTTTTATAAGTATAATTGATATTAGATTTGGTATTTAAGATGCATATTTTTTCTTGAATATACATTAATTAATAATCATATATTTATAACTAATATTAAAAAAATAATTGATAAATACTTTCCAAATTAATAATATTTAGTTTAATTAATTATAAAAACTAAAAACATACGTTTTGTAAGAACATCATGGAATGCATGTTTGATAAAATAAATTAATATTTATAAATATAATGTCATAACATTATTTAAATATTTGGCAAAATCAATCTATCAATTCTAACTAAAAAACGAACAACATGCAATGTGAAATAACAAGCCAATACTATTAAAACAAGTAAATTGGAACCATAAATATAACACAACTCAAAATCCAAAAAAATAGTTTAACATATGTCAAATTCTAACATAATAAAATAAGTTCTAATATAACTTAAGATTAGAAAACATAATCAGTTTATAACCTCATTTATCAACGAAATTCTACTTTAATGACATCACTCATTATATGCCAAGTTTGTTAATGGCTCATTATTTCTAATATTAGGAGGTGCAGTTTCAAAAACTAGAATAATAACGCAGTTACACTAAATAAAAAATTAAAATAAACTAGAAATAAAATATGCAAGCAATTACATGAAATCACAAGTAAAGGTAGAGAAATAAAAGATAAATAATGTACAAAAAAAATGTATTTTAAAATTAAAAAAGAAATTAAAAAGTAGAAATAAAATGAAAAAAATTAAATAAAAAAAATTTAAAATGATGGAAATAAAAAGTTATAAGGAAAATAAATTAAAATAAAAACAAAAAGGAAAGAAATTAAAAAGTAACCTTGTAATTACAAAGTGTAATTACCACCAATTCTCACCTTCCCCTTGTGAATTGGAGAGTGTAATTACACCTCTCCAGTTACACCCAATTACATGCTGACCAAATAATTACTTGGCCAGATAAGCATGCCAAACTGTGTAATTACACCCAAATCCAATTCCTAGGTGGTTTTCCAAACAAACTCTAAATGATCGGGACAATTCCTTACTTCAGCTTTGACGTAGCATCTTTGCATGAATCAAAACTAACTCCTTGGTCAGCTAACCTTCAATTTTAGAGATTAGACTTATGTAACGGTGGAAAGAGATTTCGCCTCGAATCCAAAATGATTTCTTCCGGTAGTATTACATTAAAAAAACAAAGAAGGTCGAGTGAGAAAATAACTCGAGGCGCGGAGCTATTTCTGTGTAGTACTGTTGAATACAAGGTGAAGGATTTTTCTCCTTTTTTTGCTTTGTGGGAGCAAATTGAAAAGTGAATGGGATAGGGACCATTTAAAGTAGATTGTTTAACCAGTAAAACACAATTTACTCTCTAAGGGAAAACATAAAATGATCAAAGACCAATTAATGAAGAGGTAGATATATACAAGGGAATGAAAAATCCACCCTTTTCTCTCATTGTCAACCTAATCAGCTTGTGCCTACAGGAATCAAGAGAATCTAGTATGTACAGATTGGTTCCAGTTTAGTACCCTACAATTGTTGAGACCAAAGGAATTCACTTGTCATTGTATCATGTTATGTCAATTAGTTAGGATAATCGAGAAATCCCTGAGAGCCACTGGTGCATGATTCAGAACTCGATGGATAATGGACCCATCCTGTATCCTTCTCCACTTAAATACTAGGTTTGTCCGGACGATGTCAATTAGTAAGGATACCACCCATTGTGAATCATAGCCAGCTATAACCAGGTTTCTTACTCAAACCTCTATCCAACATAAGCTTGCGCTGTCCCTCTGCATCATTCCAATCCCCTTCCGATGCTAGCACATTTGCTAGCAATATGTACGTTGCAGGATCGTTAGGGCATAGTTCAACAAGCTTCTTGGCAGAAATCACGGCAAGTTCCTTGTTACCATGAAGTTGGCAAGCACTTAATAGGCTTTTAAAAACCGAAGGTCCTGGCTTTATTGGCATATTGTTAATAAAGGCCTCTGCTTCAAGCAGATGACCAGCGCGGCCATAAAGGTCGACTATGCAAGCATAATGCTCTAGCTTTGGTGGTGGTAGAGAATTGTCATTCTTCATCAAATCAAAATATTTAATCCCTTTGTCGAGCAGGCCAGCATGTCTACATGCTGAAAGTACAGTGAGGAATGTGGTTAGATCTGGTTTAATACCACATCTCCTCATTTCTTCAAACATGACCATCACATCCCTACCATAACCATGATGAGCACAGCCTGTAAGAAGCGAGTTCCACGATATGAGGTCTCTTTCCTCCATTGATGAGAATATTCTCTCAGCATCTTCAAGTTTACCACATCTTGTATACATGGAAAGAAGCCCGTTTTGTATGAAAACTTCAAAAGTATATCCTGTTTTCAGAGCTAGACAATGGGTCTGCATTCCCTCCTCTAGGCCCGAAATGTTCCCAATAGCTTTCAAGATGCTTGCAAAAGTGTAATGGTCAACAGTAAAGCCCGCCCGCTTCATTCTAGTAAAGCATGTGAAGGCTTCTCCACCGACTCCTAAATTAGAGAAACCAGCAATGACGGCATTCCAAGAGATTTCATCCCATTTTATAATGTCAGACCACAACTTTTGAAAATCTTCCAAGGTACAACTACACTCTGAGTGAACAGACAACAGTGTTACCACCAAGTAGTGGTTAGTGTTAAAACCTTGCTGAATTACATGACAGTGGACTTGCTCACAATGAACCAAGTAATCTGGGCAAGAAAATGAG